TTGTTCAGGATGCCCACGTTGCCGACCATCTTATCCCACCGTGATGATGACTCCGTCAACTCGTCGGCTGTCTCGGTAAAGAAGGTCTCGGCTGTCTTGAGAAGCGTGTGCTGCAGCGTCAGATTATTCTTGACCAGATGAAGATCTGCTAGCAAGGCGGCAAAGGCAGCTTTGGCTTTCTTCTTCTGCGCTTCATTTTCCTGGTCGTCGGCAAGATGCTTCGCTGTCGAGTCCTTCTTGGGCTCGGTGCCCTTGATGCTGGTCCGGTGGTCCTGGATGGCCCTATGGAGCATCAGAGTTCGGTGCAGTTTTTTCATGCCGGACAACCCTTTCCGTGCCTTGCTCAAGGTACAACGGGATGTCAGTATGTATAATAAGGAGTGTGGGAGGAATCTCCCCAGCAACTCAGAGCTTACCAAATCTTCTTCGTGGGCGAGCTGATCCCTTTCTTTAGTAAGCGCATTGGCCGCATTTGTAGCCTCCTTCAAGTCCGCCTCGAGCTGGGTCGAGATAGTCTTCAAATCACTGTCAATGCCGGCAATCGAGTCCCCACGGCTCTTGGCTTCCTTGACCAGGGCTTCGATGCTAGAATCCACGAGTCCAAGTTGGGTCTTGACATTGCCTACTTCGCCGTTGGAATCGTCTTTGTGGCCTTTCATGGCGTTTCTGGCAGCCTCAATAACTCCATATTTGGCTTTGAACGCATCATGTAGCTCCGTGGCATTTTTCTTCAACTCATCCAGTCTGTGCTGATAGTCGATGCTGGCTTCATCGCCGCTATTAGCCACTTCTGAGCAGTCATAATGTATACGCTCGGCAAAGGCAGTCATGAGCGTAAATGGATGATGAAGCTCAAGTGGCGGGCCATGAATGGCGACGTCCCATCTGATCGAGCTCTTCCAGTTAGTCAGCTGATCATGGACCTTCTTATCGCTTTCTAGGAATTTTGTGGTCTTATTGATCAAGGCCTTTGCATCCTTGAAGACTTGGGTCTCCTCCAAGGTAGACATGGCGGATGTGCAGCTGTGTGCGTGTGTGTGTGAGTACTCTTGGCAGAAAGGAGAAAGAAGAGTAGAAATGCAAATATGAACCGTTGCGAGCCGAGTATCGAGCAAACCAGACCGACGGCAGCGAGGTATCGCTTCGTTATTTAATTATTGACTCTACCTCTTCTAACATCGGGCCTGAGGATAAGCGGGCAGCATATTCTGTTCCCGGGGGTCAAGCGACAGGCCTCCTGCAACGATGCGCAACTTGGAGTCAACCCTTGGGTTGCGAGAGCTTGTCAACCTGGCAACGAGGGCTGAATCTTTAGTCCAGCCAAGCCCGCAGAGACCTCAATAGTGCAGAGCTGTCCGGTCACATCACCGGATCGAAAATCAGCAGTGATCATTTGCAAGCGTGCGCAGGTGGTCTGTGGTATCTTCAAACTGCAAATGCTGGAGTCTTTTCTCCGCCTCATCGATGACATTTCACAAAAGCGCGAGCCCTTAGCGAGCCGAGTAGGTGCCCTGATTCATCTGGGCCTCAAATATCCGGTGGTCAGTTCCAAAGAGAGTAAGGAACGATGTCGTACGAGTATATACTAGCCTGTCAAATGGTCTGTGGTCTAACTGGACATCCTTTTCTCACGAACAATAAGGACAGTCTGGTGGTTGGCAACCCGACTTTGTGGCTGATCACAAGCCGAAAAGAGGTTAACCCTTGATCGTGGCCTCGAGTCTAGAGCACTGGGCTGAAGTGGCAGGGTTGTTCAGCTGAAAGCCCGGCAGTGGCGGCGGCGGCGACGGTCGAGACTCACCGACGACGCTAGACTACAGGCAACGTTTATATCTACAAGGTAGGTAGCTTATCTTGTCGTTGCAATGCCACGTTTATCTTGGAATTGATACGGAAGATTGAACAAGCATCGTTTAGGCTTGCTGTGCGTGGGAGCAGAGCAGCATGGTCTTTCGTTCCATTCATCCATTCCCGTCGTTGGTTTACTCATTCTGTGGACGGCCTAGGTTCAAGTTCCGACACTGACCCCGAGTCCGACTTACTATAAATATTTAAAAATGCGGACAGAGGCGTACAAAGTCGTTGCTTTGATCTTGTCTAGAATTTTGGCGAGATAAACGATCCCCTCTTCTTCAGTCGTCGTTACTCTTTTCACACATCGATACTTGCTATTTTCTCACACGTCCAAAATGTCCGGAGAGTTGACGGCCACTCACCGGCAGGCCTTGCAGGTCCTAGCCCAAGAGGAAAAGGCCCGCTCCCTCACCGTCATCTCAACCATTCGTGACATGAAGACCAGCGAGTTCTTTCGACAAAACTGGGACCAATTACTTATCGCAGCGCCCAACTGTCTGGAGCTACTTGGAAATGTCAACGCCGTCGCGTCAACTAAGCTGGCTGAGACGACGCCTCTGACAGCGCCGGCCAACAAGTTTACCTACCTCAAAGACTACGGAAATCTCAAAGGTGGCCTTTCACAGCTTTCGAGCCAAGGCGCAAAGTCCTTCACCGTCGCTCGCATCAATATGGACCTCATCAACTCGAAATCGGGATCGGTCAAGACGCAGCTCGAGATCATCGTCTCTGGCCTTGGCGACCCTCGAGCTCCGATGAGCTCGGTGCTGAACCAGATGAACACTCTAAAGGAGAACGCCGAGTCCTGCCACAAGGCAGCCATCCTGACACAGGACAGCATGATCCTCTGGTCCAACGTATGCATGGAGTTACATGACGCCTGCCCAGCCGAGTCGGCAACGACGGCGACAAAGATCGGCAAGACACAGACTTTGATGGAGCTGGCACAGATGGCAAAAGACACACGAACCAAGCAGGAGACAGAAGCCAAGACAGCGCTCACAAAGATGGACAAGGAGATTGTTGAAGCCAAGGAGACATACAAGAAAGCCCTGGATGCTATGCCTACTGGGTTAGTAACAATACCTGTATAATGATCAAGCCTGCATGGAACCAAACACTGACACATAACTTGAAGCATGGACCTTGTTGGCCAGCAGGTGCTGTTGGGCCTGGGTGAGTCGGTCGGAGCTTGTCTTCAGATTGGGGCTACCGCAGCAGCAGGAGCCATCAACCCTATAGGAGGTGTGGCTGCAGGGGCCAACGCTTTGAGGGGAGAGGTCGACAGATATTCTCAGAGCAGCAAACAACAGGAAGGGGGCACAACACAGCCCAAGCCGACTGGCAAGAGCAACGGCACATCCCCCAAGGACACCAAGAGTCCAAGACGCCCAACTAGGCTGCTGCCACGGCGAAGCGATCAACCATACTGGCAAAGCTTACCACAACCTTTGTGCGCCGTGCCAAGCCGAAGAAAGACGAAGGAGAAAAGAAAGGCACGACCTCCAGTGAAGAAGAACAACCTGCCAGGGCCACTCCTAAAGTAAACGGGGAGTCAAAAAGTGACGCCAAGCCCAAGGATAAGGATTACGGCACGTATGACCTGTCTGGCCAGTACGTGGCCGACGACAAGGCACTCTCCATTGCACCGGCTATCAAGACGGTGATTGAGGAGATCAAGAAGATTGCCGTCGGTTCTCCAGAGGGAATCAAGTGGGAGTCGGTCCTCAAGCCTACCGACCCCGCCAAGGGCTCAGTCAGTGACCTTGCCCAGGTCAACTACACGCTCGATAGGCTGCTCAAAGATTTCCGACCGACTAAGGGTGGTCTCGCCTCGCAACTCGCCGTTGCCATCATGACGGAGGCGATCGGTGTGGCAGATGACCTAGAGACCGAAGCGGCCAAAGGCGCTAGCCTCGGGACCTGGACCAAACCGGACCGAAAGTCGGACTTTTTCAAGGACCTGGATGCGCGCATTACCCGGTGCGCCTCTACCGCACTCGCTCTAGATTCCGCATCCAAGAGCACGCCCGGCGGAGTTGGGGGCGGATCAGCGTCGCTGCACCCGCCCAAGCCGACTACGGAGGAGAAGATCGCCAACATGAACTACAAGGCTTCAGTGGCAGAGCAGGCCGTCAAGTCGGCCACGACCAAGATGTTGGCGACACAGGAGACGTACAAGGCCACGCTAGACACGTACATGAAACAGTCGGAGCAGCTCCTTCAGGTCCAGGACAACCTCCTAAAGGCACGCCAGGAGGTCGAGTCCCTCACGGCGGAGAAGATGACGCTGGAATCGGTCAAGAAGACTCTAGTGCAATGCATCGGCTACCTCGCAGAGCTCAAGAGCCGCATCTCCAATCTCGTCATCTTCTTTAGCAGCCTGAAGAACCTCATCGACACCTGCATAGGGTCGCACGTCGAGCCTTTTAAGAAGGAACTGGAGATTTACGCTAGAGAGAATCAAGACAAGGCGCTCTTGTACGAGAGCTACTACCGAGATGTGAGTAGGGGTTCTGCTTGTCTTTTCCCTATTCTATCGCTATCAGACCAACTGACAAACCATGAGCAGCTCATTTTCAAGTTCACATTGCGCATCATGGCCAACTTTGCCCTGTTCAAGGACGTTTCAGCCATGTATCTCGAAGTCGACCGCAAATGCATACAAGAGGGTCTCCTCCTAGTAGACAAGCTCAACATCAGCAACATCGACTCCAACGTCAAAGACGAAGACTACTTCAAAGCCAACAAGAAGAAGCTATCCGATTTCTGCAAAAAGGCCGAGGACACGGTACACGCCGTAGTCAAGGCAAAGCAGCAAGAGATCATCGGCGGCCTGGAGAAGAGAATCAGCGAGATTGGCGGCTCGATCGAGAAGTTCCCCGTAGACTTCCGACCCGACAGGAAGGCGATTGAGTCGGTGAGTAATGGGGCGGCTATCACGCAGTCATTGACAGAGGCCGAGGTTGCAGTTAAACAGTCTCCTATCAATGTCTTGGTTGCTGGACAGGAGGAGGAGACGGTTGCGCTTGGGGGTGATGATGAGGAGATGTAGATTGTTTTTGTCGGGGCGGAAGCTATAAGAAAAAGATGGTGGGATTTCTCCATACATTAATTCCAAATGTTCAATAGTTTTTTCATTGTGAGGCATGTTGCCAGAGTGGTTAATGGGTGAGACTTGAATTCAGTTATTTAGGTACTAAGAATTAAGCCATCTCATGACTTCGGTCGCGTAGGTTCAAATCCTGCACATGTCGAAAAATATTTTTTTCTTTTCTTTTTCCATTTTTTGTTGTGTGAATTTTGTTTGGTTGTTTTTCAGTTTAATGATGAAAACAAATTCAAGGCGTGATTGAGAAAAAATCATAGTTGTCGAGTTTCATTGATCATCATCCCTCGCCCAACCTTTTAGTAAACTCACCAATTTTCGCTTTTACTTACTTTCACGTAATCTCTTTTATTCTGATAAGGACTTGGAAAGCTCCAAGACTCACTTCCCCTCCCTGTCAAACGATTGATTTTCTCGTACTTGCTTCTCAGTAGGTATGAGTACGTAGGTAGGTTAGAAATCAGTTCACATCGTGTCCCTTATTATACACGTCTGGGTAAGTTGGAATAGGTACATCATTATTTAGGTTTATAAGGGGGGGGGGAGAAAAGGACCTTACCTTACCTCTTACAGTTCGCTTAGATCCTTTTGCGGTAGAGGGAGGGAGGTAGGTAGGTCGACCGAGTGTCTAGGCCCGGGATCCGTCAATCAGCTCAGCTCAGCTGCTTCCTCGAATCCCTAGGTTAGCTCAAAGTTAGAAGAATCGAATAGATGGGGGGTTTTAGAGCATCTGGATCCGCAGTATGTACGGTTGTCAATGTGATGCATCTACCACCAAGGTAACCTATGTAATTAGAAGAAGCACGTTTTCTATGGATCAAGATGGTAAGCAACTACCTAAGCCTTGTCTTTCTTGGCTATTAGCTGGAATCTCTAGATGTTGGCTAGGTAGGTAGGTAGGCAATGGAATTGGCGACCACGTTTTGTGGTTTCATTCGGGACCGGAGTATTTTTCTACGATAATTCTAGACCTTTTCGTTTTTGGTAAACTCTGTGGTATGGTCACTCACTTACTTACACCTTCCGACCCGACCCAGCTCAACTCAACTCATCATATATAAAAATTACCAATATCACCATCTTTATATCTCTCGACTTATCCACACCCAACGGTTTTCACATCTTATACTTACCCATCATCCAATCCAAACATCACTTCTCACACTCTCTCTCTCTCCAAGACTAAACACCTATCATCATCATCATCATCATGAACCACCAAGCCCCAATAATCGAATACCCCGCCGTCCCTCCAGGCGAAGAAGATCCCTTCGGCCGAATCAACACCATGATCAAAATATTCAACGAGAATCTCCCCCCGCCCACCTTCAACAAATTCGAAGCCTCCATCGACACGGGGCTCCTCTTCGAAATCGGCGCCGCAAAAAAACTCGTGCGCAAAGGAAAAATCCCCCACGGCCGCGAAATCTCCCGCACATGATCCGACTGCGAATCCGCCCGACTTGGGCATTATTGCCGTGGATTTGGATTCTTTTGCCCACGATTTCAAGACTTCCAAGGTTATTGCGTTGGCAAAGGTGCCGACGCTTGAGCAGTTGTTGGCTGAGTGGGATAATGTTCCATGCGGAGATGATGGGGTGTGATTTGTAGCATTGGCGTTGGAAATATTGGGGCTTTAGTAGAGGATTGGGATAGGGATTATGAAATGGTACGGTGAGAGGGGTATGTTTTCCCGTTGTAATATAGTAGCAATTGAACATGTTTCGTTTCTTCCCAGCCACCGCACTTGGTCTTCCTCCCCCCTATATTACGACCCCCCTGACCGAAGATAGCATGACAAAGCATGCATTTGCGCAAGCGGTGACAGAACACCCTAGTCACTGTATAGTACGTCTGAAAAGCGAGAAATATTATCAAAATTCCAGTCTATCCAGAAAAACCAACACATTGTACTCGGAAGAGTCCCTCCTAGAGCTAGCCACTGAATGTCATGAGATGGCCTTTTAGGCTTTGCTGGAGCTGGAGCTGGATGGATCCCAAACAACCTCTAGAGTTGACAGTAATGACCGGTCCAGTGAAGTCACGCGTGCGAGGACGAACCTCTCGTCGGCTGCTGTTAATAATGCTTTCCACTCGTGTATGTATCTGTTGCGACTATTGAAACTCGCTCCCACACTAAGATCCATTGCCCTAAAAGACAACATCAGTCAGCAACACAAACTTGGAGATGACCAATACATTGTCTTACCTAAGTTCACGATCCCGCCACAACGGGAGATCGCCCGGTTCGGGCATTACCAAATCCTGTATAAGAATCTTTGCCCCTGGCTTGAGAACCGGAATCTGGGCTTTCAAGATCTGGACAGCGTATTTATCCGTCCAGATCTGGAAAACCAGGCGAAACAGATAAACGTCAGCTTGTAGCGTTTGTGTATCAAAGAGTCCATGCGCTTTGAACTCAACACGTCCTTTTATCTCATCCGGGACACCAGCCTCGGCACCCGCAATGACTTTATCCATATCCTGGACGACTAGCTTGACCTTGTCAACCTTTTTCGCCAACTCTATGGCGATCTCACCTCGACTTCCGCCTACGTGTACGATTACGGCGTCGCCCAGTGAGTCCCAGTCGTAGAGCTTGGAGATTTCCTCCGTGGCGTAGCCTGGAAAATGATCGTGGGCTTTTATACCCGCGGCCAGGCGCATGGCGCGGTCGTGATCGGCAGCTAGTATGTCAAACACTGACTTGTCGGTATTGTTGGCAAGAGAGAAGCCCTACGATCATCAGTACCATTGGGGTTCTACAGTTGAATGCAGACGAAAAAGCCAGAAAAGACGTTAGGAGGGCGATTAGTAGGCATTAAACATAGAAACCCGTACCGTATTATTGGCCTCTTCCGAGCCTGGCCATTTTTCAATCGCATCCAACATCTACCACCAGCACCATCGTTAGTTTCCCATGAATTAGATAAGTAATGTCAGACACTTACTCTTGTAGCAGCTGGCCAACCTTCTCGAGCGCCAAAGCTCAGCCAGGCATTCACATATGGAAGAGTGAAATATTTAGACATCTTGGTATGAGCGACCATTCCCGGCTCAGGCTCTTTGAAAACACGCATAGACATTGCATGTCTGAGAAGACGTCTAACAATCTGCTCATCTTGACCAATCCTTTCGGCAATCTCCTGAAAGGAAACTTGACCACCTGGAGGTACGATGTCGGCGATGTGGAACCGACAGATGGCATCCAGACTGACCACATTCGTAGTCTAAAAACATCAAGTCAACATCGGGAAACAGAGCCAGGGGGATGAGAAATCCGTACTGTCACAGTCTACACTGCCGGGGGGTCCGTGATGACTTATTGTTATTGCACAAGGAGGGAAGGTTTCTCTGAGAAGCAGAGGTCTCCTGTATCTACTTATATAGGCGTTTCGGTGTAGACTTGGCCTGTACACGTAGGCACCGAGACCGGAACCGTGACACGTACAGCACTGAACTTGAACGTCAGTGGGATTGGGTCCATCAACAACTCATGTAGTTCGGCCGTAGCATCAAGAACAGCATCCTGTAGAAGGAACGCACTAGGAGGTAGATGCTCTGGTGAATCCTCGTCAAAGGAGGGCGAGGGCACTCCTTCTGCCGATAGGAGCTCTTGTAGTTCCGTGACGGAAGCACTAATCTTGGCAGCTAACTCGATGATCCGAGGAGTCGTTGTATGAGATGTCATGGTTGTTTTCAGCGCGGTACACAGCTGTATGGGTGGCTAAAGTGTTATCAACAATATGATTCATGAAGGGAAGACTAGAGATTGCGCTGCGCATGCTTCGACTGCTTCTGATATATTTGTTATAAATCCGGGAACGGGCTCCCAAGGATTGCCAAGTAAGGGGTGTCCCTCTGTAAGTGTCGAAATCATGGGCTACCTACCAACAAGATTAAAGCATACCCCGCAGACAGGTAGCAGCTTTACAGGAGCCAGGAGGTAGGTAGGAGTTCCTCCCCGGGAAGTACCTAGTCCATAATCCACATATTGTGCAATGCTCCTTCCCGAATCCCACCACCTGCATGGGGTTAGAACTGGGCGAGAGTCCGAGACTACAGTGTATCCATTATTCATCATCTTTCTTCTTTATCTCTGGCTATGTAGACACAGGCACTGGACAAAAGCATCTCATGATGTACACATTCCATGCTAATTGCAGGTGATCGAGGGTGAACCATTCACAGTCGTACAAATTTCGTCTCTTGGTAAACTTTAATAACGTGCTCTTGCTGCATTCAGGCAATCCCGAGTTAGAAGGCACGCAGTCAAAGCGCCTTCAGGAACGAGCGAGGAAGAAGTTCCCAGCCAAGACATCCCCAAGCCCCATCTTCTCTTCAAATCCTTTCTGATCCCACCACATCCTTCCCGTCAGCTTTATATCGGGCCCAACTCCAATAACACTTTTAATCTTAGCACCATCAAGCGTCTCAGGCTGCTCAAACACCAAGAACATATACCGATGTGCCGAGCTAGGCTTCGGCGGGGCCGGGCCGATGTACGGCACGAACCACTCGGCAGGACCCTCGAGCGGGACGAATCCGTCCGCGTCGGGGGTGCTGCCGGCCACGAGGTCGACGTGGATGCCGTGCAGGATGGGTCCTAGGACCGGGATAGAAGGGAAAGGCGCGTCTATATCGATAGCCACGACAATGTATCTGGTAGAGGTGGTAGACTTTAAAGCCGACGCGGAGACGGAAAAAGTCGGCGCTGATTTGGCTTGGGTTGTGGTGAGGTTCGCGCCAGCTGTTGTCACTACGACGGTTTCGGGGAAGTGAATCCGTAGAGTGGTGGCGTCCTTGGCGGCCTTGAACGTTGTCTGGATGCTTGGCGAATCCTTGGCCATTTTTATGAGGTGAGTGAGTGTCTACGTATTTTGGTTTTTTTCCGGTTCCTTTTTCGTTTTCTAGCACAAAAAATGATGTCTAGAATCCAAGTTGAATTGTTCAAGTATCGCTTTCAACATGCGGGTTCTTTCAATATTCTGGCTATTTATGGAGATGTTGCGTCGGAAATAACGATTCACTCCGTTTAATTCCGGCTTTCAATTGACGGTATGTCTCCAACGCAACCTATCTTCTGCTCACGTAAATATGCGTATACCAAACCTTCGCCATCCGTGATAGGTACGTGCAGATGTCAGA